CATTGATTTTTATCAAGATCCCTGGCATTTCCCTGACAATTTTCCCTTTAGTACACATTCACTATACCACCATATCATCATCATTGTCATCATCTTAATCTTAATCATAATCATCATCATCATCATCGTCATCATCAAAATTGTTTTTGTTTTTATTTACCGACGTTTGCGGTATTTGTCTGTGAGTGTGTTCCTGGGTGCGTGTGCGTGTGTTTGTGTATGTGTGCTTGTGTGTGTGTTTGTGCGTATGCGTGCGTGTGTGTGTGTCTGTCTGCCTGTCTTTGTTCAATGCACTGTTTTATTCATCACCCAGTAAGTTGGCGCAAGTGAAATCTGGCAGTCTTGTAAAGATTGTCTGATGTTCAGTCATGCATGAACGGATTCAAATTAAAATGGTACCTAAATGTACTGGGAGGATAACTCTATCAAGACATATCATTAAATCCCTAATTAAATATTCATACTTCAAACAATACAACTTTTAAAAAGTGGGACATTCTTTCTGACTCACCCTGTATATGTTTCGTTGCTGCACATTAGGCCAAACAAAAAATGTTTGGTTGTCCTCGACCGCCCGCTCGTCATTTTCGGGCTGCTCGTATTTTTTTTTTTTTTTTTTTTTTTTTTTACACTTCATTTTGTGTGTGTCTTTTTTTGATTTTTATTTATTATTTTTGTAATATGTGTTTTTTTTTGTGTATTATTTTGTTTCCATAAACAAAACAAAAATCATTGGAATTGTCAAGCATTTAAACAAAGTCTATAAAGCACTTTGGTTAAAGACCGGTTTAATGTACAATGAATATCAAGACCAACACAGAAAGTATTTTGGGCTTTGAAATACAGCACCTTTTAATTCTCCATTGTACTACTTACAGCTACTTGCGCCCTCTATGTAGCAAACAATGCCTAATCGGTGACCATTGGTCCCCCATGATCCTCTTTATCTTATATGAACTGAGAGCTGATTTGATGAGATAACCACCTGTCCAGTGACCTTGCAGGGTGGTCTAATCCCTCCTGTAAACTAGTACAGATGGGCTTTAAAATGATTTTAAGAATGCTCAGAACCTGATTTGAATGAACGGCATTTTGACATAGAAAAATAAAAATGGCAATTAAGTTTAATAAATACCTAATTGCGTACTAAAAAGACCAAACTGGCAACGGGACGCATAATTTTGATCCTTGCAAATGCATAAAATGGTATGTTTGACATTTAAGGTTGCTCCCCACCCCCCCCCCCCCGAAAAAAATAATAATAACAACAACAAAAAATGAATAAAACAAAAACAAATTTGAACCTGCCTCTACTCCAGAAAAGCAATCGAGGACAACCAAACAATTTTTGTTTGGCCTTATTCAAAAAGACGGTGGTCTGGTACTATCACCTCTCTAGTTGCTGTAAATAAGCATTATTTAATGATGAGAGGAAAAGGGGACACTTATCGAAACGGATAAGACAAATTAACAAAAAGAAAAGGAGCACGTCGTATCAAAGTTCATGTCACATTGCACCCTCTATATTGCTCCCTTCATCCTCTCTTCCTGTCTCTCTCTCTAACCCACCACTTCTCTCTCCCCCCCCCCCCCCCCCCCCCACCTGAGGGTACGCATATGCGTGTTCCCTCCTTTTGAAAACACTACGAGTCCGGTGTGTAAAACGGGCTTTTGTGTACTACGAGCCGGACTTTGATGCGTGAAAAGTACTCACGCATGGTATCCCTCCGATCACGGAGTGGGGGGGGGGGGGGGCGGGTCAGTTCTTCTCTCTCACTGTGTCTCTTTCCCTAAACCACCCCTCCCCCCCCCCCCCCCCTCTGTCTCTCTATCTGTACGGCCCGCTCTATTCACCCCTCCCTAACCCGCACTCTCTCTCTCTCCCTAACCGACCCCTCTCTCTCTCCCTCTCCCTAACCCACCCCTCTCTCTCTCTCTCTCTCTCCTAGTCTCCCTAACCCACCTTCCCTCTCTCGACCCTTCTGTCTTCCTAACCAACACTGTCTCTCCCCCTCACACAATCTGTTTCTTTCCCTAACCCACCCCCTCAGCCCTCTCTCTCTCCCTAACCCACCCTACCTCTCTCGACCCCTTGTCACCCTAATCAGGGAGGTGTTTTAACTCTCATATCCCTGCCCTAACCCAACCCTTTCTCTCGACCCGTATCCCTAACCCATTCCTTTCTATCCCTCTCTCTCTCTTTCCATGACCCATCCCTCTCTCCCTCTCTCTCTCCCTTACCCATCACTCCCTCTATCTCTCTCCCTAACCAACCCTCTCTCTCGATCCCTCGGTCTCCCAAACCCACTCCTTTCTCTCTCTCCCTCTCTCTCCTTAACCAATCCCCCCTCTCTCTCTCCCTAAATAACATACTCCTTTCTCTCCCTTACCCACCCCTCTCTGTCTCTTTCCCTAACTCATCCCCCCCCCCTCTCTCTCTCTCTCAACCTAACTCAATAACATTTGTACACAGTGTAAAAATAAAAGATATTTATTTTATAAAACAGAAAAGTAGCAATGAAATTAATACTTTGTTACAAAGTTCAAAGATGCATTTCTCAAGGATTTAAGGAATCAAAATTAATAGAAAATTTACACGACTTTTGATACAAGTAATAGACCTAAACAGGATACTTTACAGTAAAACAATCACCAAAACATGTTTTGATCTTGACGCAAGGGGTTCCATGTGGCTAAACTATCTTCAAATAATTATGAGCTTTCAAAATTAATATTACAACATTAATGCTTTCTCAGTGAACAGTAAAATGTCTTGTTGAGGAGACTACCAGTACTTGTTTTTTTAGGCGTGGTTTTGTTAGTTTCAGTATTTTTAATTTCTTTAAAAAAATTACCCTGTTGAAAAAATCATGAATAAATGAATACATATTACTTAAAGCCCCATGTACTACTTGTAGCTACTTGCTCCCTCTATATAGAAAACAATGCCTAATCGGTGACCATTGGTCCCCCATGATTCTCTTATTCTTATGTAAATTGAGAGCTGAGTTGATGAGATAGCCACCTGTCAGTGACCACCCTGTTGGTTTAATCCCTCCTAGCCAAACTAGTACAGCCGGCCTTTAAAACAGACATAGAACACTCTCATAAAATAGGGCGCACATGAAACCCAAGTACAACTTGGGTTTAGTGCGAGCCCTATACCGTGTAAGTCAAAAAAAAGTTTACACCTCGAAAGTTGCTAATTATTTTAAAAATCTTCTATGAACAGTAAATTATTATACATCTTATGAAAGAGTGTTTTATCCCAACTCATTTGGTATCATTTTTTGTGTGGCATGTATTCATGCTTCGATGAACAGGAGGCATTGTTTGCAAGAGTGCAAAAATCGACTGCCAAAGTGATACCTACAGTAATTATGTTGGGATTAGCAGAGTGAGAGAATGAACTGAATGTATCAAATGAAATGCATTGCATTTGCTATTTGCAGAAGCAAAGTCACACACACACGCCCACAAATGTTCGTTTACATTTGATATTCATTATTTGATATATGTGTGGCATGATTAATTGTGTTGGGGATGTTATTTGGATCTGAAAAGTCCTACCGGTAATTAATACCCAAATCCCAATTGTTTTATTCAAACATCACATAAGCAACTTTGGCACAAGTTGATTTTTGCACTCTCCCAATCAATGCCTCCTGTTCATCTAACCATAAACACATACCACACAAAATGATACTAAATGATTCTGGATAAAACACTCTTTCATAAGATGTATACTTATTTACAGTTCATATATGATTTTTAAAATAATTAGCAATTTTCTAGGTGTAAACTTTTTTTTTGACTCACACTGTATACACAAGGTTTTATGTTATCCCAGGGGTCTCAGTCATGTAGAAATGCTGTAAGCATGCATGACCACCGGTTTTCTGGACACGTACCTCCTAAACGAGGATTTCTTCTCAAGCCAAAATACACACCCTTAACAGCTTTTTCACAAAAGTTTACTCATAAACAAGTATTGCAAAATTGTAACCCCTTTGAGTGAGCAATTTGAAGTGCGATAGGGATGGATTACCATATAAGTTGTTGACAATCATGTGAAATAAATCAAACTGCACTTTTTATGTGAAATTCACATTATAAAAATGTATTTCAATAACAGCAATAACATCAACCTCTACACTTCCAAATGGGTTAAATGCACAGCCATCAGCCCATCACAAGTCTTTTCTTGCAAAAAAAGAAGTACATTTCAAATTTGGTCTATACATGTATGTAGTGTATACAAGTACACAATATACAATGAACAGCTACTATTCTACTATTCAAAACAAAATATAAATGTATAGCAAGTCGGAGTCGGGTCTAGAAAAATAGCCCGAAACGCGTTACTCAGGATTTTGAAACGGTACTCTTTTCTTTAAAATGGACGTTTTTAAACCCCTTAACGCGGCACCGCGCAGACCCCATGACTTTTACAAGCTGATTGCCTGTCTGATTATCAAGACATTTATGGAAATCTAATTTTCAAAATACGTTATCCTAACGTTTTTTATAATTCTACAGTCTATTTGGGAAAATGAGTATGGTAAAACTAGTCACTCATAGATTATTACTCTTTTGAGGCACTTCTTGATCACTTTGAAGCCCAATATTTTTAGGGCATCAATTTCACATCATATCACAGACATTGCTAACGCTTAGGGCCATGCATCTCAGATTTAACATTGTTAAACGATGCCTTTAAAGGTAATACAAAGTTTTCGTATGGGGTCATGAATTTGGTTCAAATGAACATATTGGAAGCATATGCAGTCATCGTTGTCGCGGTTGAAATCAAGTCTAAAGTTGTGAAATTGTAAATAATAAACTCTTTATGTTTTATAGCTCCCTCTCAAGGTCAAGATATTAATTAAGCTATAAAACAATGTTTCTTGACTAAAATAGACCGATTAGCTATTCCAGTTTGGAAATTATATATTACACTACATATTCTGAGATTTTCATGGAGAAGTGTTTTAGGGGCTTAATTTTCCAAGGGGCATCCAAATACATCAAAATTGTAAAGAATCCCTATCCACCATATTTTCAAAAATTTCCCAAAACTTTGTATTACCTTTAAGAACGCTTTTCAGAGAAACCCTTTCTTACAGTGTGAAGTGTGTCTTTGTACGTGCTCAATGAGATTGCTTTTCTCACATTGGGTGCATTTATATGGCTTTTCTACTGTATGTGTTACTATATAATATATATGACAATTGAGTACACTTTTCATAGAAAATGTTTTCTTACAGTGTGAACATTCCATATGGTTTTTCTCCTCTGTGTAGTCATAGTGAGATGAGAATTAACTTTTCTGAGAAAATCCTTTATTACGATATCAACATTCATCAGGCTTTTCTCCTGTATGTGTTAGTATATGTTGATTGAGTACACTTTTCTGGGAAAATCCTTTCTTACAATAGCATCATTCATAGGGCTTTTCACCTGTGTGATTTAGGAGGTGTAGGGTAAGATGACTTTCCTTAGAAAATCCTTTCTTACAATAGCAACATTCATATGATTTTTCTCTTGTGTGTGTTCGTAGGTGTCTGATGAAATTACCTTTGCGAGAAAAACTTTTCTTACAGTGTGAACATTCATATGGCTTTTCTGATGTGTGCATTCGGAGATGACATTGAAGATTATTTTTCCAGGAAAATCCTTTCTTACAATAGCAACATTCATATGGCTTTTCTCCTGTGTGTGTTAGGAGGTGCTGGGTGAGATAGCTTTTCTGAGAATACCCTTTCTTACAGTGTGAACATTCATATGGCTTTTCTCCTGTATGTGTTAGTAGATGACAATTGAGTACGCTCTTCTGAGAAAATCTTTTCTTACAATGGCAACATTCATATGGCTTTTCTCCTGTGTGTGTTCGGAGATGACAGTGAAGAGTACTTTTCTGAGAAAATCCTTTCTTACAGTATGAACATTCATATGGCTTCTCTCCTGTGTGTATTAGTATATGTTGAGTGAGTATACTTTTCTGTGAAAATCCTTTCTTACAATAGCAACATTTATATGGCATTTCTCCTGTATGTGTTACTATATGACGATTGAGATCATTTTTCCGTGAAAATCCTTTCTTACAGTGTGAACATTCATATGGCTTTTCTCCTGCATGTATTAGTATATGTTGATTGAGTACATATTTCTGAGAAAATCCTTTCTTACAATAGCCACATTCATATGATTTTTCTCTTGTGTGTGTTCGTAGGTGTCTAATGAAATTACCTTTGTGAGAAAAACTTTTCTTACAGTGTGAACATTCATATGGCTTTTCCCCTGTGTGTGTTCGGAGGTGTTGGGCGAGATTTCTTTTCTCAGAAAACCCTTTATTACAGTGTGAACATTCATACGGCTTTTCTCCTGTGTGTGTTTGTAGGTGTCTAATGAAATTACCTTTGTGAGAAAAACTTTTCTTACAGTGTGAACATTCATATGGCTTTTCTCCTGTGTGTGTTATGAGGTGTTGAGTGAGAGCACTTTGCTGAGAAAACCCTTTCTTACAGTGTGAACATTCATATGGCTTTTCTCCTGTGTGTGTTTGTAGGTGTCTAATGAAATTACCTTTGTGAGAAAAACTTTTCTTACAATGTGAACATTCATATGGCTTTTCTCCTGCATATGGTCTAAAGTGGAGAAGGGGATGACTGGCCTGACATGATCTCTTACTGCAACATGGACACTGATGTAGCTTTTCTTCAGAATGTATCCTCAGATGAATGTCGGGTTGATCTTTTGTGGAAAACACCTTGCCGCAATGTGAGCAAAGATGAGATTTACCTCCACTGTTGATTGAGATTCCACGATCTATCGTCTCTTGTCCGTTGTCAACAATATCACCTGGTGGCGAGAAAGAGAAAGCTCATGTCATCGACAGCTCAGATACAGTGTAAGAAAGTACATGATTGTCCCATCACTTCAAATTGAGACAGAAGTTTTTGGATTATGTTCTGAACTTCTGAGAGAAAAATGTATATGGCAAAATGGGTGAATTGGTTCAAGCATGTTGAAATGATTTTTTTTTCTTCAAAATAAAAAGGACATTAATGTACATGTATTTACAATTTTTCCACTTACAGAGCAAAGGAAGAACCTTGGATTTTTTCTCGTACCCATCATGTTTGAAATGAAGAAACGAGGACCAGTGCGCAAGCACAGGATGGGAGATGCATTTATTGACTGTCAGCTGGTGAGACTGATAGATGCATACTAAAATTATTGACCTCTTAAGCTATGGTCACAAATCTGACCAGCGACCTACCGATCAGTAGCCTGCTCGGTCGCTGCTGGAATTTAGGCATCGCCCAGCAATTAGGTCGGTGCCCGGGCGGCGACCGCCCAGGCACTGAGCATATTTTGGACGTCGAGTGAAAAGTGAGCAGGCGCCACCCAAATTTTAACTCCGCGTTAAAACTTCAGCGGCAACCGAGCGATGCCCTAAAAACGAGCGGTGCCTGGGGGGCTGCGGCTCGGTGGCCGGGCAGCCGCCGGGCAGAATTGGTTAAATACTCGCCGCTCGGCTGCTGAGCAGGCTACTTTTGGGTAATGTGACCATAGCATAAGAAGGGAATTGAAATCCAGAATATTTAATGAAACTCACCTGTGAATTTTAGAACAAAATTTGATAAACTATATTCAAAAGATATATTTTTTCAAAGCTTTGATTGCATTTCATATAATTTTTTTTACTATTCCTCATGGATTAGCAGCTGTGTGCTGTCATGGCCACACCAGTCCATTGGTTTTGTGCATACCGGTAAATTTTTACAATTTTTCACTTTGGGTGATTTATAAAGCTGTTGATCTGACTTATTGAGAAATGTGTGCGAACCTATATTGGTCCAAAAATTTCATGAACAAGTAGGGCTGCATGATATTACAATAATATTTAAATATTGCGATACTGAAAAATCAATCAATAATCAATACTGGATTTTGTCAATATCCGATATATCGCCTTTGGTGGTTAAAAAAAAATTGTTATCCAATATCGCAATTTTAGAATGATTGAAGCTGTTCACTACTTTATTCTGACAGAAAATTATGAGAAAGACATACAATTATGTAACGACTTTCATCGCATGCTGTAGGTACCTGCCATGTGGGGAAACAAATCACATGTTTTATAAATATTTGTAAGAGGATTATTCTCTGGAAGATGATATATTGTGATAATCGAATAATGAAAATTGCAATATCGCATAACCCTATTAACAAGTACAGGGATTTCGTATTTTTCATTCAGAAATGCATTTCTGCAGATTTTTTTTTGTTCAAAAATTTAATGTAGTGCAGCATGACTTACACAGTTGCCAACTTACAAGTGCACAGCAAGTGTATTGTCCCTCTAGTTTTATTCCCATCCCACGCCACTGCAATCCAGTTACAGTAGTGTAGGAGTAGATATGTGTGTATTATTGTTATGATTAGTAGGATACTTTTTCAGAGGGCATAATTTTGTGACTCTGTAATAACTATTTAATAACTATTTCTTATATGGCGCTTTTCAGGACCTATCAAAGCGCTTTACAGATATATATATTATTACCCTGGTCATCGGATTCAGGCTTACCTGCACACAATGTATGCACATTCTCCACTCCCTGGGGAGCATTCCAGCCAGGCATCATTTTTACAAGCGCACACTTGCTAATCTAAGCACATTGGCTTTCGCATCCTACCGTCTCTCTTTTCTCACATACTCTCTTTCTTTGTTCTTTTCTCATCCCTCTTCTTCTTCTATCTCTATTTGTTCACATTCTCTCTTTCTTTGTTCTCTTCTCATCCTATCCCATTCTTCTCTTCCCCTATGCCTATTTATTAAAATGACACTTTTTTAATGACACATATTATCTATGTCTGTAATTTTCATTTAATATGTTGGCTTCTTACTTAATTTTGTTCTTCCTAATTTATTCATATGAAACCTTTTATATCATATATCTTTATGCTTGTTATTTTATTTGATGCAATAGTTTGTTATCTAAGTTTTGTATTTTATGCATGTATGTCATCTTCAACTCTTATCATGCCACAGGGCTAATCCCCATTGCAGATGTAAGACAGACATTGACGATATATGCTAATGAGCCTGCCTTAACTATTTTATATTGCTATTGGGATTGCTCGGCCAATGATTCTTTTTTGGAGCAAGCAGAAACGATAACATTTGTAACCCAATAATTGCACTTCTTTGAAGTGACACAGTGACAACAATATTTGACTGACACAACTAACATTTTTCTGGTGAAAATTGGTGAGGTCTTACCACTAAATACATCTTGCAATATGCACATATACTTTATCGTTTATTCGTTTTCATTATCGGTGTGGTCTGACCAGGCCTTTAAAAAACGTCATTGTACTATAGATTAAACCTACCTTCTGATGTAGGTTGTTCAGATTCCTTGTCTCCATCAGTACTTGACACAGGATTATGGGTTGTACTATCTACTTCATGATTGATTTTACCTGAAATAAATCATTAGTGTCGGATTATTTAAAATCAGTCTTTCATCATTAAATGTTAGTGCAGTCCTTCGAGTTCCATCTGTACGTGTACAAGGAGATCACAGCAAACAAAACATATTCATTGGTCCATTTCTACACTTACAAATACGGCAGTCACACCCTCAATGGAAAAGAATTAGTACCGGTAAGTTTAAAACTTCTGTGGAGGCGATTTATTAGGTATCTTTAGTATTCTTCATTTTGATGATCTGCAATGCACAATCACTTTGTGTTTAAAGGTATTACAAAGTTTTGGGACATTTTGAAATTGGGTGGATAGTGATTCTGTACAATTTTGATATATTTGGATGCCCCTGTGGATGTATTATAAGCACTAGAAAATTCAGCCCATAAAACACTTCTGATTTCGAGAAAAATTGAATATAGAAATTTACCGGTGCTCCCGGTAAATTTGGATAAATTTCAAAAGCGCCTACTGCGGTACAGTGGTAGCTGCGACCATCAAAATCTCAGAATATGTAGTTGTGATATATAATTTCCAAACAGGAATAACTAATCGGTCGATTTTAGTCAAGAAACATTGTTTTATACATGTAGCTTAATTAATATCTTGACCTTGAGAGGGAGCTATACAACATAAAGAGTTTATTATTTACAATTTCATGACTTTAGACTCGATTTCAACCGCGACAACGATCAATGAATATTGTAGGATCGCATATGCTTCCAATATGTTCATTTGAACCAAATTCATAACCCCATACCAAAACTTTGTATTACCTTTAATAGCTGATAATGTCAAGGGACTAGAGACTGCTAGAAGATTTGTGTTGGAAAACCAGAACAAGTGAATATGAATTATTCACATTGACTGTATCTTGATACATTTCATCAGGTAAATTCCCATCATTTTTAGCATCACTTGACAGATTGCTTCAAGATAGCCCAAGAGGCCTTGCACGGTCATGTCCTACAAATGATGGACATATGGTACTGTGGTTTGTAGAGTCTCAAGTACCTTGCGCACTAGTAATGCGTGAGCCATTCATCACGTGAGTCACAGAGCCACGCCGTATTCACGCTACTTCCTGCATCAGCATCTTGTAGCGTTTTACACGATCCCACATCTTCACCTCAGCCATTCATATTGTACGAAGGTGCGGTATGAATTCGTGAAACATTCATAGCGCTGTGTCCATTGACGAGGGGCAAGCTAGCTGAGCGTGGCGTGACATGCATCGACAAACTTGGTATCTAGTATTTGTCACTGTCCTGATCATTGAGCGATCGCGAGTACAAGATTTGTTGGCAAAAGTTCGAGTTCGGAGACGCCTATGTTCAAATTTGAATTACGATAGATTGTTTTTGAGTGTGTGTGTACATGTTTTTGGAGTACTGTTTTAAGCCTTCTTTCATAAACATGATTACATACATGTATGTCTTTATCAAAACGATTAAACGAAACCACTCATTTAAAGTTAACAATTAAACATTTAGCAAAAGAAACCTTAATGACTCGGGCATATTTTGTACACAGGTTTCAATGGAATATCAATTCAAGTAATACCTTCTAGACATGATGGAACACCTTCCTCTTCACTTTCTTCTGTAGGTTCTTGCTTGATGTTGATTTTGAGGGGTAACTGATTGATTTCCTCTCCAACTGTTGAAAAGGCCTCTGCTTCTTCCTTGATGAGAACTTCTATGACTGATGGAATGAATTCATTCATGGGTGACAGGTAATGAATGGCATTGCTATAAACCTCTTGCTTGATGAGAACTCCTTCAACAAATTGAATAGTTTCTGTTGAGCTTCTATTTGGAGTTGGCGTAGTATGTAAGGTCCAACTCTCTGCTTTTTGCCTAATGTGTTCTGGGACTGATGGGGCAGTTTCATCTACACTCTGTTCAGTATGTCGCAAAGATTTTGAGGTCTTACTTTCCATTTCTTGCTTGTTAGTATGTCCTAGGGTTGTTTCAATGCACATATCTACAGAATGCAGTGAACTCAAGGTCCTGCTCTGAACTTTTTGCTTGACATTATCTTCTGGGACTGACTGAAAACCTTCTGCTGCACTCATATCCATTGTTCTGAGAGGATTTGATGCCCCTCTGGGCCCTCTCTCTGCTACTTGCTTGATCATATCTTCTGGGACTGACTGAACACCTTCTGCTGCACTCCAAACCGTTGTTCTGAGAGGATTTGATGCCCCTCTCTCTGCTACTTGCTTGATCATATCTTCTGGGACTAAATGGGCACTTTCTGCTACACTTCTATATGTAGTTTGGTGATGATCAAGTGTCCCTCTCTCCATTTCTTGCTTGACTTCTGGGAATGACTGAACAGTCTCTGCAAGATTTGCAGGCTGCACTGAATTCAAAGTCCTCACATCTGCTTCTTGCTTTAAGCCTACATTCCCTAAAAATAGCGAGAAAACAAAGGTGTTTTACAGCATATTCTTGCAAAGGGAACAACATATGGAGATAATTAAGCAATGCTTTCTTGTGAGAAATCAATCATACTCTGAGCACTACCAATATCTTGAAAATGTATAGAAGTAGAACGTAATGGAAGAAGTAGTGGAAGTAGTACAATTAGTAATAGTAGTAGTAGAAGTAGTAGTAAAAGTAGTAGTAGTACAATTAGTAGTAGTAGTTAGTAGTAGTAGTAGTAGTAGTAGTAGTGGTGGTAGTGTTTTACACAGGTACACACACAAAAACAAACAAAAAGTTTTGATTTATGCCCCTCCACCTGGCGCTATGCCTGGCAATGTCTCCCAGCTCAGTAATCTGTGTGTTGACTTACCTCTCGGAAACTAGAACATCACTTAAATTTGTCATCTTGGTTGAAAGTAATTTTTCTAATAGATCTCAATATGTAGTTTATAATAACAATTCCTCCAATTTTCCTTCTATTCATTTCATATTCATATTTATTTCATTTCCAACAGAAAGGTAAACAAAGATATTACTTCTTTTTCAGGAAACTATACAAATAAATTTTGAACATAATAAAATTATTACAAGAAATTCTTAATTTCTGAGGAAATGGGGGGGGGGGATCCACTAAAAAGCAGTGCTTGTAGTTTGTGGATCCCCCAGAAAAAAATATAATTGTTTCAAATTTTGCCTACGAAGACTTAGAAAACACAAGACAATATTACAACACAACAGACAACCACAAAACGAACAAGGAGAAGTAAAACAGATAACAAGGAAAAGGGAAAAGGGTAAGAAGAAAGAAAGAAGCAGGGCAAATCATGACCGGAAAAAAGGTAGTTATAATGTTAATTTTGGGAAGGTAAGATCATAAGACCAAATAAATATTAAAATTAATCGAACAGATGATGAAGACCTAAATGAATTATTAAGATGATTACCAACTGTTATCAGATTATTCTTGTATATTACTATAAGATTTGAGCAAAAATGTCTTTAGATTTTGCTTGAAAGAATTAGGGATGGACTATTTTTAATACCTTCATTCAGAGAATTCCAAAATCTAGGACCATCATACATAAAAGACTTCTTCGCTAATAAAGTTCTGAAGAAAGGTAGGTGAGACTTGTTTGACCGTCTAGTTGGGTAATCATGAAATGACCGATTTAGGGGGAACATGGCATCAAATATATGTGAAAGGGTCTTTTTTGAATACTTATACATAAAATGTCCGAAGTGAAGTAGATACAGGTCATTTGTTTTTAATAGTCTGCCATTAACAAATAACGGGTCTGTGTGTGAGAGTGGAGCAGAATGGTAAATAATACGGAGAGACTTCTTTTGTAATAACAGTCTATTTAGTAGAGTTTGCTGTGAGTTGCCCCAAGCAAGTATCCCATAATTCAGATATGGTAAAATTAAAGATGAATAAAGCATGAGTAGGGATGATGTCGGAAAATGAAATTTAAGTTTGTTTATCATGCCAATATTCTGTGAAATGATCTTATTCCCCCCGAAAGTTTGTTATCAACAGTTATGCCTAAAAATTTAATGAATGAAACAACTTCCATGGGGGTATCGTCAAAAATGATATTCTTAGTAATAGAATTACTAAATAACATATATTTGGTTTTTTGGAGGTGAAGGCATACCTGCCAACCTGAGACAAGAGAAATTAGGAGTAAATTTTTCTGGATGGACTACGAGGTCGCAAACCACCGAAGGATTGGGGTAGTAGCCCGTAGATTGGGGGGGGGGGGGTACACAGGACTTTAGGGTCTATTTTTTTTTCTCTCCATTTTAATGGTGCAAATGGGCCTTTTCCTTCAACCTTTTCGCCCCACACATAAACAATTTTTGAAATATCAAAATGTGAACACTCACAAAACTACATGTTTCACTACCCACCTCAGTTAGGAGCCCTGTTTTGCAAAGGTAGAAAGATTCAGAATTACTGGCTACTGGAACCAACCAATCCAGCTGATGTACAAGGTTGAAATTGCACGAGCCTTGTCCTTAATTTCGCTGAAAGCTTTATGTTTCTTCGAGTTCATGTGTTTCTGAATGTCATTCATTCCCCCATGGTTGATACTGAAGTCGGCCGAACACACAATGCAAAATGTGTGTTGAAGTCCGAGTGCTGATTCTGCAACTGGAAATTGTTTCCCGTATTCTTTCTTATACTTCTGATTATGAACAGCACGAGTCTAACCCATTTTGTCGTTCAAAAATGGAGAAATCAACGAAGAAGAAGAATATAGTAGTAGTAATCCAAAATAAATCCGAGGAAGTCCGGTAAATAACAAGCTTCCACGATCGCAGTCATCGCTCAAGCATTGAAGAAAACACGCCAATATATACAATGTTTAAGCACGTGGGCTATACGCATGCAGTTACTATGCAATATCTTCTATGAGCGCGAGCGCGGATGTCGGCGTGATCTGGTTATCAGTGCTGTGTTATGCTTTAGTCTTATGCAACAGTCGTTTGTTTTAAAAAGTTTTGAGGCATGCACTCGGAATTCGGAGTTGGTATGAAAAATGCGGAGGAACTCCGCCTAAATCGGGGTGGTTGGCAGGTATGTGAAGGGATAGTTTGTTTGCTTTTATCCATTGGGTGACTTTTTCAAGTTCAGAATTTACAACATTGACTAGAGAATTTGAATTTCTATGGGAAAAAATAAACTAGAATCGTCTGCAAAAAGTATAAATGAAAGGACATCGGATGATTTACAATGTTCATTTATATAAACAATAAACAATAAAGGGCCCAACAAACTTCCCTGCGGTACTCTACAATTTACGTTTTGCATATTGGAAGTATGATCATTCAAGAATACATATTGTTGTTTATTGGATAAGTAACTCCTGAACCACTCCAAGGCCTTCCCATGAAGTTTGAACAATAAGATGTCATGATTGAGTGTGTCGAAGGCCTTGGAGAAGTCCAGGAAGATACCAACCAGGTGAGAGCAATTGTCTAAAGCATGCGCTACTTTGTCAATAAAATTCAATAAGGCATGTTCTGTATTATGTTTTTCTCTAAATCCAAACTGAAAGTTGGAAAAAATACTATGAGTTTTTAAAAAGTAAACAGTTCTACGATAAACAACTTTTTCTAGAATTTTCGACAAGGGAGATAAAGAGATCGGTCGATAATTACTGACTTTAGAGCTGGATATCTCCTATTTTATGGAACTTCTGGAGTCGGCAGATGGGTGAGTTGTCTTAGTGAAAGAAATTACTTTCTTTTAATCTTTAATTTATTATAAACAAATTAGTAATTAAAAAGTTAGATTTTGGCATTGGCCTCCCTACTATTAAAGGGGAAGTCCACCCTGAAATTAAGTTAGTTTTAATAGGAGTAGAAAAATGAGAGAAACAAGTCAGTGAAAGTTTGAGCAAATTCCGATTAAAAATAAGGAAGTTAGGATTTTTGAAGTTGTGATCAATCAAACACAAATTGGCAACTCTATGACGTATCATGCGAGCTCAACTTCCATTTGCTCAGTACTAAAAAAATCTAAAATTTTCATTTTCCCTCAAGAAACATTTCAACCATACATGCACCCTAAATATAATAATTGCAAATATGTTTCTATACTCTCCCTGCAAGGAACAAATATATATTCCGTCATCAATAACGAAGAAAACATGATTTTATGGAATATTATGCACGAAGCAAATGAAGGAGAGCTCGTATAATAAGTCACAGAGTTGCCAATTTGTATTTGATTGATCACTACTTCAATAATTCATAACTTTCTTATTTTCATTCAGAATTTGCTCAAACTTTCACTCACCTGATTTTCTTATTATTCTGCCTCTATCGAAACAAACTTATTTTGGGGGTGGACTTTCCCTTTAAAGCTACATTGTAAGACCCAATTGCAACCCTTCCTAAATTTTTGATGAAATAAGTTCCAAACCTAGTACTATATTGGCTTTCTCTCTCAGTTTTGTCCCTCCATGGCTCGATTTCAGGATTGCGGCTTGCAATTACCGTATCTGTGTTTGTACAGTGTGTACTTGTGCGACCGATTCAAGGCTAGCCTATGCCGAGTGAATGTACTTTCGCGCGAAGTTTTAAACTTAATGACACGCCCATCCCCTGGGGCCCGTCTATTCTAATTATGAACGTAATTTCGCGACACGAAATTGATTATTTCAAGGCTCTTATGGACGGATTGGCGTAGAAGGAACACCCAACTTTAGAGCTGGCTATCTCCTATTTTATGGAACTTCTGGAGTCGGCAGATGGGTGGGTTGTCTAATGCTACGTTTACACTATGTTCCCGGCGGCCACGGTAACCACGTTTCAGGCCACCGTGGACAAAACAGGATTGACGTGACACAACACGGGGGACCGTATGGGCAAACGTGACAGAACGTAATTGCCGTGGATACGGTGTCAGATTTTTAAACTGTCAAAAAATTTGCCACGGCAGTCACGGTGCGGATGAGAAACCTAGTAGGCCGTAGTAAAAACTTGGAGGTGGTCCGTAGTGGGACCGGATGCCCACACATTCCCCGGCATCTTATGGACTTTTCAAAATTCAAGTTTTGTCACGTTCTGACATGTTTAGTGCACGTTTTGTCACGGTTGCTTCACGGTTGCTGCGCATTTTGTCCCGTTTTGCCACAGTTTTCACGGCAGGCCAGGGTGTATGGTAGCCGTTTTGTCGCGTTTAATCACGGCGCATCCCGGCGTCTGAAGGTTTACGTTCTGGCACCCGTGGTAGAACGCGGGCCGAACCGTAGTGCGCCTTGGAGCCTCCGGGACTCAGCATCCCAGGGAATAATTTTCCTCAAATTTTTGATTAGCAATTTCAGCTGATGGATAAATATTTCAATGAAATTCTGTACATTTCTATGGAAGAAAACTGCTACCAAAAGATATTTTGTATAGCAGTCATGCAAAAATGCACAGCAAATTGCGATGCGATACCAGGAAAATTATTCCCTGCATCCCCTTCTCCCCACGGCCCGTCGCGGATACCGTGGTAGACCGTGAGAAAACTTGGCAAGACCTAACAAAACTTGAATACAGAGATAAAATGGTTCTTAATCCCACAGCACACCACGCTTCGGGGAAAGGGGGCTGCCGTGGCCGCTGGAAACATAGTGTAAACTTTCTTTTAAACTTTGTTTTATTATAAATATATTAGTAATTAAAAAGTTAGATTTTGGTATTGGCCTCCCTACTCATCTTTTTGTGGACATTTAATGAATATTTACTTCATTTTTGGTAGGTTTTAGTAGTATCTCCACGCCAGGCGCGGATCCAGGGGGGGGGGGGCCCGAGCGGAAGAGGACGTAGGAAGAAAAAGGAGCAGACAAAGAACATCTTTAAAATTCAGAGAAGGATTAAGAGTATAGAGAACGGTACAACGCATCGTTTTCTTTCTCTAATAATAAAACGTCAAAGCCTCGCGCAGGAGAGGAGGAGGGGGGGGGGGACTGAATTGAGACGAGGAATCAGAGGAGAGAATGGTAATACGAATCTTTAATTATTTAAAAGCTTATGCGCTTCGCGCGGGATGGAGGGGCAAATACCGATGATGATTATTTTCGAGAACGGTACAATCAATCGTCTTCTGCTCTAATGATTAAATGAAGATTAAAAGCTTCCGCGCTTTGCGCGGGAGGGGGGAACCTGAATTCAGACGAGGATCAAGAGTCGAGAACTGTACAACGATTCGTCTTCTTTCTCTAATAATTTAAAGAAACGTAGAAGCTTCCGCGCTTCGCGCAAGAGGGGGCGTGAGGGGCTGATTTTAGACAAGGATTAAGAGTCAAGAACTGTACAACAAATCGTTTTCTTTCTCTAATGATTTAATGAAACGTAAAAGGTTCAGCGCTTCGCGCGGGAGGGGGGGGGGGAACTGAAATCAGACGAGGATAAGGGTCGAGAACGGTACAACAAATCGTCTTCTTTCTTTAATAGTTTAATAAAACGTCAAAGCTTCCGCACTTCGCGCAGGAGGGGGAGGGGGGGGGGACAGAATTTAGACAAGGATTAAGAGTCGAGAAGTGTACAACGAATCGTCTTCTTTCTCTAATAATTTAATAAATCGTAAAATTTTCCGCGCTTTGCGCGGGAGGGGAAAAACTACATTCAGACGAGAATTATTTTTGAGAACGGTACAACGAATCGGCTTCTTTCTCTAATAATATAATGAAACGTCAAAGCCTGGGAGGGGGAAACTCGCCCCCCTTGCACCGACCCCCCCCCCCCCCCCCCCCCCCCCGCATTACGTCACTGTTGGTCACCATAACGTACCAATAATGGTTCGCATAATTTCAAATTTGGGCCCCCCCCCCCCCCTAAGAAATCCTGGATCCGCGCCTGCTCCACGCCGGAGTTACGGGTCATATTAAGGATAGGTTACTGAACAAGCGTCATCCACTCTACTAGCTCCAGCAAAGCATAGATCTAGTCATACTTGAGTCATTGCATGCATGCATTGCTAACTCCAGGGAGCTCCGACGCGATCGACGCCGAGTTACATAGAATCTATGTCTCTACTTACGTTCATTCTTGGGCTTAGTATGGAAGAAATTGCAGTTGCCATCAAATTCTTTGACAAATTAATTTGGGAACATTTGAATGCGATCTCCTCTCAGGTTGTTCACGAATCCGAGATAATTTAACTCGGTATTAGGCTATTCAGTATTTATCGCTCCTCGAAAACTGGCGACCATTAAGCCCACGACCAATGAGAGGAGGATAGTCACAAATAATGGGTCCTATAGTGTCTCTAAATCGTATAATGGAAAAGGAAAAGGAGATTGTTGCTCGTCTAGGCTGACGGTAGGTCTATATATAACAACAATAGGAAATCTAATCTCTTACTAGTATTTGGCTTTTAAAACTATCTCATGACAGTTTAACTAAATGATACGAAATCGCATGAGATGAAATATATGAAAAACGATGGAGCGACCAAGCGAGGATATGTCTGCAGGCGCGGATCCAGGATTTTCCAATAGGGGAGGGGGCCGGAAATTTGAAAATCGCGCAGACCGTTTTGGCAACTCGACATACCAATACTGACAAGGTCATAAGAAGCAACATACCTGTACAATTTTTGACGTTTTCATCGGGAGGGGGGGGGGGGGGAAGCCTCTTGCCCGAAAAAGTAACTTTCTGGTTTCACAATTCGGCTATAGTGAGCGAAGCGAGCGAGCAAAAATTTGAGCATAATATATATTTTGTGAAACTGTTATTTATCACCAAAATAAACGAGAAAAGATATCAAAAAATCATATTCGGCCAGCTCGCTGTTCCCCCTCCCCCCCCCCCCCCCCCCCCATTACGCGTGAAGTAGCGCAGAAGCTTTAATGTTTCATGAAATTATTAGAGAAAGAAGAGGATTCGTTGTACCATTCTCGACTCTTAATCCTTGTTAGAATTCAATTGCCCCCTCCCGAGCGAAGCGCGGAAGCTTTGACATTTCATTAAATTATTATAGAAAGAATACAATTCGTTGTACCG